GGATTCCTTCCGAATACGAAATTATACCAGCGTGTTCTCTCTGTTAAAGCGCCATTGCTCTTAATATTATAATCTGTCTCTATCCCAGAAGAAAGAAGTCTTTTGTTGTATAATAATCTGTTCTTATGAAAAATGTATCCTCTCAGTGGGTTTAATGGACCGTCTGGATTTATTAATAAGCTCCCTGGTATTTCAGCAAAAGTATTCTCTTCTATCTCCTTTATATCGCACAGCTCGAGTCTTGCATATATTGTGTATATCATTACTAGTAGCTTTATGATCATTCGGTTTTTCATCCAGGGAATAAATAAAATATTTTTTATTACCCAATTTGATTTTTTATTTCTATTTTTATATAGCATAAAATTCACTTAATTAGTCAGTAATATATCATATAATACAATTATACAGAAAAACACTATAACTGCTAGTATACTGCCTTATATATACACACTCAGACATTCTAACGTCTAGTTTCTTGTCTTCTTCTTGAATACAAACTACTTGATGCCATAACAAAACTTTGTGTTTATTAAATTCCGGAAACGCGTATATAACTTCAGTCTTCCATCATTTAATTTTGGCAAGTTGATTTATATCCAAAATAATACACATTCCATAGATTACTATCATATTAATTATTCTATTACACCACACCAAGGAATATTGCTGCTGAGACGCGTATACTCATGTATTTCTATTCTAGTGCCAATATTAGTATACAACATGTATTACTCACCCAAACTCACTCAATATATTCCAATCTATACCTGTCTATGCCAATATAACTCGTTCTTATATAGCGTACCAATTTGGACCACCTAACTACGTACTATATCACTAGCCAGAATCAACTCCAAGTGACACTGCCTTTATTGTACATACCTCCCGTGTATCCTATTTTTATAATAAGACACACTGTTCTCTATTTCCCTATGTGTTTACTTTTTAGTATCTCCTGTTCTTATTATAGATTGAATTTTATTCCTCTTTCTTCTATTTATATTCTATTCTTTTTGCTGTGTATGTATAATAGAATAGCAGTAGAATATTTAAAATTAAAATTAAATCTTTTGAATACCTATAGTGAAAGAATAATGAATAGAATAAAGTAGTAAAATAACAAATATACTACATAAACAACAGAAATAGAATATACCAAGTGATACATGACATACCATAATATAATTAATACAATAGAACAATCTAGTTGTATAAAACAACAAATAGGTGTAAAACTAATTGTTTATTGCATAGTAGTAGTATAATCAAATATAAATAGAGGTGTTAAAAGTATGTTTAATGCAAAATAGTTTATTGATTATTGATATAAAGCATGAAGTCTCAACTAAATATCCCGCTAGTTTCACATACTCTTCTATACCTCAACTGCCATTCTTTATTAATTATACGGCATTTGAAGTATTTGGCTGTAAATTGTTGTTTGATGGCGTATCCATAGAAACATCCTATTCTATCCAAGGATACCAATTTTTATACTCGCCATCATAAATACCACTGGATTGAAATTTTTCCTTTAATGCGTGTTCATTAATTGGAACACTTCCTATAAGGTTTCTTGTAAACTGCACCATAGGATTGTTTTTACCTATTATGTTTCTATAAGATTCAGTATAACTTTGGTGTTTTTCCAAAAATATTTTAGTTATTTCATACTTGTAATGCATGGTCTCTAGGTTACCACACAGTAGTAGGCCGTTTGGGTTAGTGTGTCCACTGTTTAAAATATACTGTATCCTTTTAATGAATCTGTACTCACCTTTAATTGCATACGAGATTTTGTCCAGATATAGATTCGCGTATTGTCTCATAATGCATCCAATGTAATTCTTTGATTCAGTATACATCTTTTTTATATCATATAATGGTTTTTCGGCATTGCTGCCCTTATTTCTTAGCATATTCCCGGAAACCTCGCATTTTACACGGCCATTATGATCACTATCAGCATAACTACTAAAATCATCCATCTCTATTACAATAGAACCCGGGGCTTTCTTCTTCTTTTTATATATAATCTCTAAAGGCAAATCCTCATAGATACCTATATCCATTATGTCATTTTCTAATTCTTTTGTAAAAAACTTACCATTCTTTTGTGTTTTAATTTCCTTGTTTTTTGAGAGAGAGATACATATTTTTTGTACATCGATTAAAAATCTATCTATATCTGAATCGGAAATTTCATCCGAGTCATTTATAATATTTTTTATAGATTCAATATTTTCATTAATTTTAGTGTCATTCTTACCTGCTATTTCTCTCATGATATATATCATGTTTAGTATACCAAATTGAATTTTATTTCTGCTGTCAGATGAATTTAAACGGTAGGAAATGTCTTTATTGGGTAGGTCCTCTACAACCCTGTGCCACTCTCTGTACATAGTATAGTCCATAACCTGCAATGGATCGCTATACTTAGCAAAGAATCTCTTTAGTTCTTTCGATGGATTGGGCATGTGGCTTATATCGTACCTCCCAGTGCTAGAATCAAATGCAAATAAAAAGAACAAAAATAGAAGAGCAGGCTCAATAGAAATAGTATACTTGCTCAATTCTGCATTAACAAACTCGTCTGTTTTTCTATTATATGATGGCATAAATTCCTGTAAAAAGACATCATGTCGTGAGTTTGTACTCTCAACATATGGCATCGGTTGTAGTTCATCATTCAATTTATGTTCAACCAATCTAAAATACTCAGTATATTTCACTTTGCTAGGCAGCTCGGCTGAGTCCTGTTTAATGAATAGACTGTCAAACACCTTCTGTGCTTTCTTTCCTGTCTCCATACATACATTCTCACTCTTCTTCTCATCTTTGTTTAGTATTTGTTCACACAGCAGCCCGTACACCGCTCTTACAAACTCTTCATACATCTCCACACTGTCTATATACTCAAAGAAGTATGACTGTATGAGGAACTTCGGATTGCACAGAAAATTCCCCTTTAAGAACTCTTCATGCGTAGTAGGCATTGAGAACTCTTCTGGCACTTTTAAGCAGTAAGATGAATTAGTGGTGGCAATACTCTTGAAGAAGCTCACTATCTCTTCTGTTTTCTTTTGGGGTGTTCTCTCTACAGTCTTCCCTTCTTTGTTTTTTTTCGGGTTATATTCATATGCAAGTTGATGTGAAATCCTTCTCTTCTGCTCGGTTTTCTCTTCTCTAACTCATCATATTCAGAACTACTATTCCTATCCTCTTCTTCTTCTGGTCCCTCTACTTTTTTCTTCTTTAGAATAAGTATTTTATTTTTATTCACTTTACTCTCCACTATTCTAATAGGAATATTTATCCCTTCAGAGAGAAGAAATAAAGAAGCCAATAAATTCAAACTATCTGACTTGTTTTCATGCCTTCTTAAGAACCGAGTGAATGAGTCTGGGCTCTCTGACTCAATAGATAAATATCTATCTTCTGAT